AAATAATAACAATTACCTAAAGGTTATGACATTTTATTGTTGCTGTAATTTTTTTTTAATAAAAGATTCAATCGTCTTCGTAAATGGAAGTTCCCTCAGCCCCAGAAACTCCTGAGGGATGTTGCTATATTCCTTAGCAACTTGTTCGCTGAGACTTCTTTCACAAATAGTGGTTTTATGGGTATGATGAGCGATGAGGTGTTTGGATCTAATATTTATATTGTGAACGTCGGTTGGAAATTTAATGTTTTTATAGAGGTAGGTTGTTTTCTGTGTGTAATAGTTTAATTAAATAAGGAGATCACAAAAATTTTGAATCTGTTTCTCATGTTGATCCGTTTAGATTCTAAAATTTTTCCGAAATGTGATCATATTTTCTTATGCCATGAATAAACCTATCACAAGAATTTTGGCCAATCTGAAATGTTCTGCGAATTTCTACATCAAAACTGCTATGGTATATAGGTGAAAGGTATTAGAGCTGTGACAGTACAAGACTTTCACATAAAGTTTTCTTAGTGTCATAATTTAAAAACTCGCGCTGGGAAACAGGATTCTGGGTGAGGAATAGGCATTTTTTATATTTGTAAGCACCTGTTATCGGAAACGCAATGTTGAATCCAGTATTCAGCCAACGTTATTTCCTTCTAATGGTTTAATTGTAATGATGTCAATTGTGACACTGGAATTATGTATTGAAATTGGGGGAAACATAATTTCACCATCTCAAGGGTTACTTCGTCAGTTCCAAATGCATTGGGTTCTGAGGAATAATAAATTGATGCCAAATCTGTATAATTTATTGGACAGTTGATGGCTACAATAATAATTATTTTCATAGAAAGCATTTTTTCTGAATATGGATGAACGTTGTTGTTGGAAACAGGACAAAAATATCTGTTTATTTCTGTAGGATCTTTGAGACGGGTAGCAACCTCGCTATTCTTAAATTTTTGTATACACTGTAATTTGAGACTTTTATAAAAATTCACATCATTCTGTGCACTAAGGAATCTTAAAAAAGTTTCAAATCTATTTTTTCCTAAGGTTGAGTTCCGTAATCTTATGTAAAAATTCCATGACTCCTCTGATCCATCACGTCTAAGTTCAGTAAGTGCTTTATTTTTCCTCTTAATTAAAAGTTTCATATCTCTTTTTCATATTTCCACTGTTGCCCGTAAATCCGCAGTTATCATCGTATTGTTATTATGGGTAAAAAAAGCACGACAACGAAGCTCTTCAGCTGCAAAACTTCTATACATTATTTCAATTAAATGTAAGGCAAATTGTTGATAATCCAAGTAGTAATTATTAAGATTGCAATTTTCTATTATTTATTGAGTTATTTTTCTGCGGATAGTACTTTTGTAAACCAGATACATAGCATACGGGCATATACCTGTAGATAACCTCCTCATTATCCTTGCTACGCATGCTCCAAGTGCAAGACACATTAAGTCCCAGCTACCCATCTAATTTGTCATACACATTCCGCACATACGAACGACGACGAAGTACCCGCATTTTTCATCGTAATATCTCTGTGCTCATCCATATTCATATCTCACGGTACGCCATAACATCATTCAAGACGTGATATTTGAGTATCACAGATATTTATTCGTTAAGCTCATGAATCCACACACAAGCAACGGTTATAACATAACCTTTTAGCAACACGCGAATTCCGTGCCTAACAGTTCATACACGACATTTTGCGTTCACAGCAAAATGCTAATCAAGGAGAAAAATTATACAGTTAGCTAAGAGTTTATATGAAATACTGCACGGGGTCCGAGTATAATCGCTACAGAGCTACTACCACGGTGATCAATACTTGATGCAACGTTTGAAGATAAAGGATTCCCATCACCTTTTTAAGGCTAGAATGTACAACACAAATGTGGCATAGCTCAAAAGCAAGGTAGAGTCGATAGACTTCGTGTAGCTTTACAAGGTGGCCCATAACAAAATTCACTTTGGAAAACAATGTAAATGAAAACAGGATATACCTAGAAGACTTTGCTTTATGAGACAAAAGGTCATTAGCAACTTATCGTTCGAAAATGATATCAAGATAGTCTCCCGATCTCCGAGAATACTCTTCCAAATGGAACCTCAAATGGTCCAACTCTCGCCTGCAACTTGCTCTTGAGATTGCCGCCATTGCCAATGTTTTGCTTTAATTCGTTGAGGGTTTTTGGATAAGCATTGTAGACTCGGCTCTTGAGATATCCCCATAAAAAGGAAGCGATAGGGGACAAGTCAGGGCATCGTGGTGGCCAATCAATACAGTGATGCTCCAATGAAGTACCTAATATAATACTGAAAGAAAAATAATCAAGCATGGATTAATCTGAAAGGAAAGTAGAATAGATTAAAACGTTGCCTTTATTATCACATTATTGTTATTTAATCAAGTGTTTATACACGAAATCCAGCAACAATGGATGCTACTGTTAAACAAGCATATGTACATTATAATTTAGGTTAGGTTTACAAAATTATAGAAATTAACTTACCTCCTTTAAGTCATGTATTCCATGGTTTTTTCTTATTCACACTGTCATAGTTTCTTGTAAAACAATTCTGAATACTGCGACATCTTTACAAATACAAAAAAAGATGTATATACTCAAGCAAATGAAAACAAAGCTGGTACAGTGAATGACTGAATCAGGCAAATGGAGTAACGAAGTTAATGCGGTTGTTGCGGGGTTTGACTGAAATTGTTCAGTCATTACAGGGAATAACTGCAATTCTTAGTCAAAGGTTGTAATAGTCAAACTGTTACGGTGTTTGCCGGCAATAGGGGGACTGACTAGGCATTTCAGGGAATGACAATAACAACTCTCTCGGCATTCAAACCGATGAGAAGGTGTCTTTGAAGTAATGGATGGAATAAGGAATGGAATGGTATTTGGCCGATTTCTTGTAAAATGTTTTTCAAACTAGAGAAAAATGAAATAAGATTTGTGTAAGATGGGCTTCGAGTTCTCACATTAAATCGAGAAATACTTTATATATCACATGATGCAGCCACAGACACATATTTTTTATTTAGTTTTAAGAAGTGCTAAAGTGCTCTGGCGGTAAGGTTAAGGGTAAGGTACGAAACTCTCTAATCAAAGACATTCGACGATTATACAGGGTGTCCGCAAAGTTGGGGTTGTCCTTTTCAGAAACAACTATCCTTGAGATAACAAAGTAATGTGTAGTTAAACGAGGGCGACCAAGTAAAAAAAAATAAAGGAAAAAGTACTCACTCTCCAGTTGACGAGAAGGGCTAAGTACGTCACTGCCCGAAATCATACCGCTCCAACAGAAAATGAAATCAGCTGATGCGCTACCGAGCAGACGCCGGCGGTGGTGCAGACCACGAACAGAGGTAACAAATATGACGCCGTTGCCGCGTTTTCAGTTTAGGTAAACGTACTTTATAGGTATTGTTCGAAGTTATCGCCGTTTGACTCAAAAACACAGGTGCGTGCACGACGTAGCCAAGCATCGGTGCAGGCTTTGAGAATGTCCCTCCCCCGAATGAAAGTACCAGCTTGTTCAATTCTGAGACGAAGTTCGTCAACCGTATGCACTTCAGTTTTGTACACTAAGCGTTTCGTTTCTCCCCAATGAAAAAAATCACATGGTGTTAAGTCTGGAGATCGCGGAGGCCACGCTACGGGTCCATTACGTCCGATCCACCAATTCGGAAATAATTCATTCAAAAACTCACGCACTTCGCGTCTAAAATGGGGCGGTGCACCATCGTGCAGAAACCACATTGATTGTTTTACACTTAATGGCACATCTTCTATCAAGGAAGGCAAAATGTTGCGTAAAAAGTCTAGGTATTGCATCCCGTCCAATCGATTTGTGAGAATAAATGGTCCAATGAGCATACCGTTCACCATGCCAGCCCAAACATTCACCGAAAATGTTTGTTGAAAATGTGCCCGACGGACAGCGTGCGGATTTTCTACTGACCAAACATGAGTGTTGCGAAAGTTATTCACCCCATTACGCGTGAACGTAGATTCGTCTGTCACCAATATGCACTTCAAAAAGTCCGGATTATTGTCATGTTGATGCAACAACCACTCACAAAACCGCACTCTTGCTGAAAATTGTCAGGTTGAAGGGCTTGTACACGTTGGACGTGAAACGGATACAGCCCCTCTTCACGCAGCGATTGCCACACTTTAGTTTTTGATACTTGCAGTTCTCTAGCCACGTCTCTAGTGCTTGTTGTTTTTTGAAACGCAATCGATTATACGGGTTCGTTTACCTCTACACGCGTGACCGTAACCGTCGGTTGAAGGTTGCGTACTGACCTGACACACTGACCCCGACCCAGTTCTGTCGTCGGGTTGAGCCAGTGACCTTGTACCACTCGGTGATGTCGCGGATCGCGGCTACAGGACGGTATCAGATATTTTTGATGCTGCAGATCCCTTTATCTCGGTTCCCTTAAGACATTGGTGTATATGGTACTAAGAAAAATTGCTTATGTTTTCAAGATCTACACGTCGTGTAAAGGAAAACCCCAACTTTGCGGACACCCTTTATTATTTCCCTTAGTAAATATTCCCGCCACAAAAAAACATTTTATTGAGTCGTAGATCAATTGAAGTACTATTTAAATGTGACGTGCAGTATTTGATGCAAAGATTGTATAGAAGCGTCCAATGATGAGTACACAAGTTTCACCACTTGGAGAAAGTACTTCAAAAACGAAATATGTCGATTTTTTCATTCCTGTTGCCATCAAGATATATATTACGGGAATAACAGTCGAGATGATCCTAATTAAATCCCTGTTGGCTATCACAAAGCGCTCTTTCTATTGTCATACTTTCACCCATTAATTTGAAGTAGCAAGCCACCTCTGCAACTCCTACAACATTATCGCCTTATGTGCATAAACATCGCAAAGCTTACTATTACGTAATGAATCTTAATTTCCGTCTATCTTTCTTCTAACAATACTCTCTTGCTTGCAGATAGTGTCGGCTATAGTCTTTGAGGACATTAACGGAACACGTATTTGGTTTCTTAGGACTGCTGGCATAAGGGAAAAGATTGATCAAATTCACTGGACGGTTAGGTTAGGTTGTAAGTACAGAGTTACAAACATCACTTTTATTTACAAACCCAATTATTCTACTGTAATCCAAACAAGGTCAAATCTAAACTAGTTCGAAGATATAGATCGAAAGTAAATGCCTGCGGGTTAATATCTGTCATCGATTATACACAGTGCCCTGAAAAGAAAGGGAATTCCCTTTTCTGAATCATCTACGTTTGCAATATCAAAGCTAATATGTGACAAAACAACAACGACAGCATAATAAAAAAATTGAAGAGAAGTATTCACTATTTGTTTGGTAATGAATCTCGGGTTCTGTCTTGTCACATGTTTTGTTTGTAATCAGCTGTTTGAAGTTGTCGCTGTTTGATAAGGAAAAACACGAGTTTGTTTACCTCTCATGGTTCTTGCACGATATGAACAAGCTTATGCAGCTTTGATGGAAAGAAACATCTAGGAAAACGGTGACGTTCTACAGTATATTCAGATAAGAGATAGACCGGACATAAACAAGACCACGTGATCATCGAACGCTGTAACATTCGGCAGGGACGTATTAAGAGTCAAGCAGTACATATTTTAGATAGTAGATGCTGCTTTGCGTAACTTTGTAGTAAATTAGCACAATTCGATGTGTATACAATTGGTGATGTATATAGGATCATGTGGGGGTGGGGTAAGAAATATATAATGATGTAAATATACATAAGGGTTTCAAAATTTTCGCTTCGATTTCCAGCTTCGGATGCCGCCTGATGTTTGGTGAAATACAGTCGAATATAATCTCACAATGGCATTTAAATTAGCCTAAATTAAAAATAATCGTATATCTCTTAAAATTGCTTTTAGAATATTGATTAGTATATTTTTTGATTTCTAGGTAAATATGTAACCAAATTAAAACGTTCAAAACGTAAAAAAATGTGCATGGTTGAACATTGTCAGAAAGTAGATTCTTGAATAGGTTTTGCCAAAATGGGTTCAAAAATGTCAATAATTAATTAAAAAATACAGTAGCTTTATAATTACTTATAACTTACCGAATTTGATGAACGACATCTTTTATTGGAAAGATGAGCTTGATGAGCTTTCATCATCGCTACTGCCTGAAGCACCAACGTCAATAATGAATGGCTCGACTTGTTCCTCTAAAATATTGTCCAGTTCCCACATTCTCTTTTCAACTTTGTCTTTCACGTGCAGGTACAGTTTTCCCATTTTTGCGCTGTTATTAATTCTAGTGCTTCTTTGAAAAGTCCTTTGAGGTCACAAAATTTAAAAGTTGTATTGTGCTTAGCTATATAATTTTTAACCTCTGCCCATATGAGCTCAATGGGATTGAGCTCGCAATGGTATGGAGGTAAACGGAGCACAGTTTTATTTTGACTTGCTGCCATTTCGTCAATGGCGTATTTTTGATATTCCGCCTTGTGATCCTTGACAATTCTTAATAATTGTACTTTCAGCATTGCTTCTTCAAAGTTGATATTTTTCGAGCAGAGCCAATTTTGAACATCAACTTTCCTTGAAGCCGTTGTTGGGACCTTCTCCATTCTTCGAGAATGATAAGGCGCATTATCCAACACAATGTACTAACTGGTGTAGATTTATTTCAATAAGCGAATCTTTTTCAAATGTTTTCATCACATTCAGCGAAAAAACATTGAGACATGAGTATCAGATTGCTATAATTGGGATTATTTAGTCATATTGAAAGAAAGAATATTGAACTTCGTATGATTACTCAGCGCTTCACAATTTAATTTAAAGTTATAAACCTTTAAAATGAATGATCAGGAACCTGAAAGACGCGCAAATATTAATATTAACAAATTATAACTTTATAAAGCTTAAAGTATGAATTAAAATGATTAGAAATATTAGGAACGGTACACAATATAAAACTTAGTAACTTTTTTTAAGTTTATAATATTCGACATATTTTAAGATTATATTAAAAAATTATTGAAATATCGAAAACACATAAAAACATGGCTTAAAAAAGTTCTAACAAATGAAAATGACTATAAAACATCCACGCATTTTATCGAAAGTTATAAAAGTTTTGTTACTTGTAATATGTTTTGTCTGCCCCCTGGAATTAATGTTTAGAACCTTGTTCCCAAGGTTTGAAAAACATCCGATTGTTGTCTATTACTCGTATTTACCTGCTGGATTTTTTAATCCGGTGGACAGTCCATCTAGAAAGGCCCTCCTGGATGAAGTTACAGAATCATCAACCCATACTTTACTTGTAGGGTGTCCTGCGTTTACCCACGTTTCATCAAGGTAATAAATCTTCCTGTTTTGATTTCTACATTTCCCAATTTTTGTTAAATAATCCCTCCTCCATAGCACAATTTCTTCTCTATCTCTATTACGACCCCGTTTTTTCCATTTGAAATTTAAATGCTTCAGTAACGCATGGAAAGTTGATCGTTTGAAATTTGGCAACGTTGTATCTCCATTTACCTCCTGCAGTACTTTGTCTATAGTAGGTATTTCATTCCTAAAGAAGAATTCATGCACTTTCCTCCTAATCGCATGCTTATCAGCTTCATCCAATGATTTAACAATACTTTTGCGATGTTTACTGGTCATTGGCTCAGAAAAGGTGTGATTTTTTTTGTATTGTCTTAACACATTAAACACTGATGCGTGACACACCCCAACTTTGTGAGAAACCTTCACAACAATTTCTTTGATGGTTGATGCCTCGTTCTCCTCTCGCTCGATCTTATATATATTCAAAATGACCTCTTTCATTTCTGCACTCAGGTGTCTTTCTTTAGAGCGTTTCCTAGGTGGACTACAGGAGTTTACAACTTCATCGACAGTATCTGTACTACTGGGCATTTTGCGCAAGCAGTTGATAACAATAACAATCAATAACAAGGTATAACAATAACAACGACAAACTCAACAACTTAATAAGATAACAAACGAAAACGTCCAAAGAAATATCAAATTGCAATGATGCACACGACATACGTAACACGTCTGAACCTGAATGTGACTCTGCCTTGAGACGACTGCTCTGCCGCTCGGCATAGGCATTTAATTGTGAATTGACCAATGAGGGCTCCTGTTTTACGTCGAGACGGCGGCGTTAGCGTGAAAATCACCCGAACCTTTTGTTTACATCCGGTCTATCTCTTATCTGAATATACTTTAGGTACACTCGCGGAGTACCAACAGGATCTTTAAGATGCTCATATCAGATCTATAAAAACGGGATTGCTCTAGGAATGTACCAATTTCGGTTTTTCAAATACGGTTGGTTAACCTAGACACCACGCGACGTCTGATTTAGATACTGACTCACATATTCTTAGTACATCACACCTTTTGACGTAGAAGAGCATTGTGGGAGGGGACAGAGGCAGGGTCGTTCTGGATCATTTACTGGTTGTTGGAAATATAGTATCTGATATAGTTATCTGAAAGCTTTGGTACATATGCTACTAAAAAAGACATGCTTATGATTGCCTGACATCTGTGAATGTCCCCCCAGTTCATTTCTTGTATGCCAGTAGTTAGGGACATTGTAATTATTGGATTGACACTTTTTGAGTCATAATGTATAACCCACGGTCAACATGTTCTTTAAATTTTTGTTTTTGCTGTTTTTTTGGGAAGAATATTGGTTAAAATCTGTGTTGCATGTTAAGATGCTGGGACGAAGAACGCTAGTTCTAGGTAAAAAGTAGCTTATACACTGAAAATAGTGCTTTTGGGTCAAGAGTAATGCATTTGTATTTAGGAAATCGAGGCTTCATTACGTTTCCTTACAATATTCCTTGTATTAGTGAGTTTTACTTGAGGAGATAATTCAGTTTAAGTAAGCAGCAGAACCTTTGTATCAACAGTACGAAACTCGTCTGGCTGACCCTAGTCGATCTTTTTTTTTTGAATGTTATCTTGCACTTGCCGCCAAATAAAAGAAAAATCGACACCTTTAGCCCCACATCTGTGGATTCATTTGAAGGCCAGTGAGGCCTAGATTCATCGGGAGATATTGATACGGCAGTATAGAATTTCGAAAGTATTTCCCTTGCGTCTAGGGCATATTACAAGGAAACTTGTAGATAAAAGTATCACGTAACGTTTTTTAAAACTGTGTCTTTCATTCTGTGATTACTTTGATGCAAACACAAGACAATAGCAAACTAATTAAGCTAGATATTTAACATTTCAATAAAGTAAAATGCTACAACAGAGAATGTTTAAAGTCAATTTTCTCCATACAATGATTTTTATACTAAATAAAGTCACTTTCTTCAAGTTTCATAAACAGTACAAAGCCTTGGAAGAACTGAATTACACTTTATTGAAACCAGCCTTCGTCTAAATCAACAATACCTTACCGCACAAAAAAATGTGCTCTGGTGTACCACAGGGATCTGTCCCAGGACTCTTGTTATTTTCATCATATATCTCAGATTTTGAAACAGAGGTAAAAATCATCCAGCATACAATTTTTTGTCGGCGATACTCAGATTTTATATTCATGTTGGAACAAAACATTGGATCGATCTGATCCTATGAATGTTTTGTGCTCGAGGGGATGTTATTAATTTGGAGAAGATTGTGAAGTGACGAGAAGGAATACCCATCCGCCACGACTTTTTTTTTCAATTCAAAGTTTATTCAAATTCAAAAACCAATATAACTTACAAATTAACCTTCAGTACAATTTACATAAAAAAAGCTACAAAAATACATGAGCTTGTATGCTCTTGCTACCCTGCAAGTAACGGTATATGAATTGTGAAAATTCTGTATACTTTCGTAAAGGGATTGTCGTCACAAATCCTAAATTACGTGTCTGCATAAACAAATCTAAAATTCATAACAATAGTACAGAAGCATACTAAAAACACTCAGAAGTATAAATATAGAGTACATAAAACATGAATATCTGAAATATGATAATAAAGGGATATTTCGAAGAAGATCAAACTATGTTGTTTAAACAATAAAAATTTTGCGTAAAGGTTAAGCAGAGAAACAAGAGT